GTTTGGTTGGGGCCAAGCACAACGAGTCAGCGTCATAGCGTTGTATGTCAGTCTGAAGGAAAGGCCGTCGGCCGCTGGGCCAATGTCACAGTCTGCTTAGGACGCATGCAGCCTCTCTTTCCGTCAAAGCGCAGTGACAAGTCAGGCCAGAACACGAGAGTTTATGATAGAAGCCATCTCAAGCATACACACGCATTACACGCAGTGGACGTTCTCGTGGGCTCATCGAAGCATTTTGTGTAGGGCAGGTTGTATGATTACATCGTATTTTCCAGCTTTCTCTGCCTTCTGAAATTGACAGCTTAGCGCAGCACGCGAGGGACGAGGTCGCTGGCGTGCAGGCTTGAAGCCCCTTCTAGAGAAGGTATGATATGCAGGCTTTGGAATGACTTGACAAAGCTTGCGCATTGCGAGGTCTCGAGCACCTCTTTGAACGCCTTCATGATTTCACATTGACTCTCATCCAAGGGTGATTCTTGCGAGCAGCGCGCGTGACCCTCTAATCGTGTGTGATCACTGACCCGGTGGTCCGTAGCTGCTTGGGATAGACAGAAAAGGATCATGTCAGATACAATCGGCCAGTAGCACAAGTTCACTGTGTGTAAACCTCACCCTGGAGGAGGTCTGAAACCGCCTTGAAAGCCGGGTGGGGGTCCTCCAGGCATTCCAGGCGGTGGGCCGAATCCAGGAGGAGGGGGCCGTCCAGGCATCCCGGGCGGAGGTCCTCCGAAGCCGGGAGGGGGACCACCTGGCATGCCCATTCCCGGTGGTGGGCCTGTCGGAGGAGGTCGACCGTACGCCATAGGACGCGCACCCAGCGCTGTAGGGCCGCCTGGGCCTCCGGCCATGGGCAGACCCATACCTCGCCCTGCTGGAGCGCCACGTCCAGGTCCTGGTTGGAGCTGCATTTGGAACGGTGCAGAGTATGGTCAGCATCAAGCGAAAGCTTCAAAGATCTTGGAGCAATGTTGTCGCATGGGCGAAGCAGTGGCTTGTGTGCGGTGAGGTTTCAAGTGCATACAACCCTCCAACAATCATTCTATGTCCGCTATAGAAAGGCAGCAGCCGTCGCTTGATCCAGAAGATTCGCCAGAGTGGTATGATACGACCGAGGCATACAACAACTGGTCTGCTCCAAGCCCCCAACACATCTTGACCATTCAGGTACTCACACCTGGCCCGCTTGCTACCTTGTCAGCA